GTGTTTAAAGGCTGTTGAGATGTGGGGTTGGGGGAGATGGGTTAGGGGTGAGCTTTGTAGAGTAGGGTCAGTGGTTGGACTCGATGCTCCCAAGGGGCTTTTCCAATCTGAACAATTCTATGATTCTACATTAATATTCATTTCTGAACTTGTTCAGGTACAGATTGTGAGATCAGAGCTCGCTGAACAGAGAGCCCTGCAGGAGCACTCCCCAGCCGCAGTTATCTGGAAACAGAAACACCGAAGGGAACGGCACAGAGAGTTCCCACATCAGCTCCCAGAATTAACTGGCCAGATTCACGTGTGCACGGAGGCAGCTTGAGGAGAGCTAAACATAGCCAGGCCTTCAGGGTTCTGTGCCACTTGCATCTCATTTTAAAAACCTTCTGCAGGTGGTAGGAAATGAGATTCTGCTCAAAGAATAATGAAATGTACTTCTTCAGGAGCAACTTGGCAATTCATACCCACTTTAATTCATTTTGAGAACTGGTAACCTCTTAAAACACGAAGATGCTAGATCAATGAAACAGGAAGAAGCATCTTTACTTATGCCTTTAAGTAAAAACATGGGCACAAAAGGGAAGGAATAGCCCAGTGAGTGAATTTCAGTATAACAACTCCATATATATATATATATATATCTCTATCTCCATAATGAAGAAAATGGATGGATATTATTAAAAATATGCACTTGTCAGAGCAGAATAGTTTAAAAGATAAAGGGAAAAGCACTGGTTCTTTAGGAAACATACTGGATAACATCCCACTGATCTTTTTTAAGCAAGTAAAAGATATTTTAGCTACTCAGTAAAAATGTAGGCACATCTTGTGCTGGATCAGTCAAGTTTTAAAGCCGTGTTACTTTAAAAAAAAAATTAAGAGCTTTAAAAATATATCTGTAATCTGAGGAATAGAAAATAATCCTGCAATCCAGTAACTCTGAAAAAATCCAAGCTATAAAGCTCTATGAAAATGAACACAACACACTTCAGTACATCAATACCGAACACAACCTGCCATACGCTCTTCACCATTTTTACACATAATCCTATCAAACAGGTCAAAAGCCTTATCTGTGTTACAAAAAGAAAAGAGGCCCTTAAAAGAGAAATTTTGTGGAGCCAGGTGGCTGCTCATCTTCAGCAACGGGGACAGTTTTCTCACCATGACACTCTTAGGGGGGCTGCCTCAGAGACCGACAACACCAACAAAGGTTATTCTGTCACCGGTCACCGCGATGAATAAACCCTGGGAGCTGGTATGAGGCAGCGCGAGGGATCACAGCACGGTGGGGGTTGGAAGGGACGTCTGGAGACCACCTTGTCCAACCCCCCTGCCAGAGTTTTGAAAATACAAGTAGGGAGACACTGCAAGGAATAAAGAACTGAAGTAAAAGGTTTACCTTTCGGATCTGATTAGTAGTCAACATAATTACATCAGTTCCTTCATGAAAGCACTGCGAGGCAGCTAGGTAACCAATTCTCTGTAAAAAGGCAAGGAGAGGAAAAAAAAATCGGTTTTAAAGTAAGTTTAGATGAATAAGTGGTAGCTTCATAAGCAGTATTAAAACTGTGAACACTCAGGAACAAGGCTTGCATGCCAGAAAAGGCATGACAGAGTTCTCTAGAAAAAGGGGTTTGTGTCAGGGAAGAATAATCTCACGACAAGTAACATCTAGGATAGTAAATCTAACCTAATAAAACTAATTTCACCTTTCTACTTTTTTAGAACATCCAGGCTCCATGACCATGAAGGTGCAGAAATCAGACAGGACTGTCAGCTGGAGAAACGTAAAACGTTACATTTGGTTTTCTGTCTGTTTGGATGCCTGTCTTTCAGATACTAAAGCCTGATCTAGAAACTATTCCTTACAAAATAATGCTCGACCCTGTTTGGTGAAAGAGGTCTGCAACAGACCATGAACAAAAAAAAGTTTCAAGGAGAATGATAAAGCTATTACAAAATAAAATATGCCTGCTACTAGGAATCCGAGGTGGTCTTCACACAGCTACCTGGTAGAAAAAGTCTGTATTAGCAGGCCAAGTACTATCCATATACTAGAAAACAACTCCCCTGAAGAAAGCAAACCAGAGGATCTACCAAGGCCTTAATTAAATATGAGAACGAAAGAGCTTGGCCAGAACAGTTGTGGTTACACAGAGAACTCACTTTGAATGTAAACTTCGACGCACTCATGACTTCAATAATATTGAAAGCAGCCCAGCTGATGTCGTAGCCCAGCATCTGTAACTGTGAGCAGAGAAAAGCCAAGATAACAAAGTGCTGAAAGAAGAGACTCAAGAAAATAGGTCAAGATATCTCACAAAATTGAACGAGTCCAAAAATAAGACTGTAAGACACCTCAAGTTTATGAGTAATGTTACATTCTACATCACTCACAGGAAGTGAAAGAAGTCTCGGAGTTCCACCAGAAGCAAGTTTTTAATAGTTTGCATCAATTCCAGGTAATACATATGCAGTTATATAAGCACCATTGTGAAAGGGGTTTTTTCCTGTTTTTTTTTTTTTTTTACATAAAAACCAGAATGACAGAAATAATTCTTTCACAGTATTTCCCTCTTCTTGACAAAGGACTACACAAAGAGAAACAAACACCAGTTTCAAGCGCTTGGGCAACTGTGTGCTAAGAAACAACGCAGCTGAAAACAACTTTTAACAATTGGATTAGTTTAAAATCAGGTTAGTTTTCTGACCTATGTTGACAAAGTGAATTCGTATAAATACTAGTGCCAGCACAACAAACAGCACAGGAACACGCAGCCCCTGATGTCAGACACACACGGGAGCATTCTCACGGGCTGCAGCCTGAAGATTAGCTCCCCGTCA